GGGGGGGGCTGGGCCTTACCTTTGCCTGCTGCAGGATGGCTTGGGCTTGGGCTTCTTGGAAAGAGACAGTGGGACCTTTGAGGGAGTCTCCACCGAACTGGAACTGGGGGAAGGAGGAGGGTGAGGGATGTGGGGAGCCACTGACCCCCAAGCTCTGGGGACAGCCAGCTCGGTGTCACCTAGAGAGCTCCTTGGGGAGCAGGCAGGACATCCCTGAGGGTCCCATCCTGCTCCAACATTTACCGGCAACATGATCATGGTCCCTGCTGGGCCACGGATCCCGGCAGCTCCCGGCAGCCCCGGCCGTCCCGCAGGACCCTGGTGGGGGAGAAAGCAGGGAAGGGGGGGGAGAAAAGCAGGGAAGGGGGGAGGGAAAAGCAGGGAAAGGGGGGGATAAAGCCGTCACTGCACCGGCAGAGCCAGGCTGTCAAGTCAGGGCTTGCAGCTCCATCACCCCGCGCGCACGCCAACGTGCACCGGCAGGACCCGCCGGAACGCCTGCAGCCCCAAACCCTGCCATGGGGCAGCTCTGGCCCTGTCACAACCCTCCCCCAAATCTGCTCCGTACCTGATCTCCAGGGTCCCCGGGCAGCCCTGGGAGCCCCGGTGGTCCCAGGGGACCTGTTTCTCCCTGCAGAGAAGAGAGAGGCACGTTAAGGCTTTGTCAACTCCAACCCCTTCCCCACAGAAGCCCCTCGTTCCTCACCGCAGGGCCCGGGGGTCCCGGTGGCCCCTGGAATCGCCGGCCCTGAAGAAAAAGAGGGAGCCCCGTCCTGTGAACCATCTCAGATGGGTGGCCCTGGGGGTGCCACATGTCCCCAAGGAGCGGGGGGAGTGTCCCACTCACCGGCTCCACGATGGCTGGCTCACCCTTCTCCCCCTTCAAGCCGGGCTCCTGAAAAACACCACGATGAGAAGAAATAGCCAAGAGCTGGCTCCAAATTGCCTAGGTGGCCCCTGGACTCTGTCCAGTGGCCCCAGCTCAGTCAGTCATAGCTGGGGGGGGGTCCCAATCCTTGTCCCCAGCATTACCTGGGGAGCCTGGATGACCATCTCCTCCCTCTCAGCGGGGCCAAACCTCTCCTGGCTCGCAGGGTCCTCCTCGTAGTAGTCCTCGTAGCCCAGCACCTCCGTGCTGTCACCTCCGTCTTCCTCAAGAACAAGCTCCTCGCCGGTGTCCTAAGAGAGGGGGACAGTACTCAGCACTGGTGAGGCCACACCTCGAGTATTGTGTCCAGTTCTGGGCACCTCAATACAAGAGAGATCTCGAGGTGCTGGAGTGAGTGCAGAGGAGGGCAACGAAACTAGTGAAGGGCCTGGAAAACAAATCGTATGAGGAGCGGCTGAGGGAGTTGGGACTGTTTAGTATGAGGAAGAGGAGGCTGAGGGGAGACCTCATCACTCTCTACAACTTCGTGAAAGGACACTGTAGAGAGGTTGGTGCTGGTCTCTTCTCACAGGTAATTAGTGACAGAACGAGAGGGAACGGCTTCAAGCTCCAACAGGGTAGGTTTAGATTGAACATTAGGAAGGAATTTTTCACCGAAAGAGTGGTCGGGCACTGGAACAGGCTGCCCAGGGAGGGGGTGGAGTCACCATCCCTGGCTGTGTTTAAGGGCCGTTTAGATGCAGTGCTAAGGGACATGGTGTAGGGGAGGACTTTGTAGAGTAGGGGAGATGGTTGGACTCGATGATCCCAAGGGTCTCTTCCAACCTAGACGATTCTATGATTCTACGATTCTATGAAATGTTAGGGGGTGAAGCGGAGGATCCCCCCCCCAACCTCTGCCTACCCCCTTCCCCAGCCCCTGGTGTTACCTGGAAGGGGTCGGTGACGTTCAGGGTGACGCTGATGGTGGTGGCAACGGAGGGGACAGGCGTCGGGGAGGTCTCCTGGGCAGCCGGCGTGTGCGAGCTGGCCTTGGGTGATGCAGAAAGGGCGCAGGGTGAGGAAGGGAATGCTGCAGCAGAGGGAGGTGCTGGCCCATGTCCCCTGGGGGGGTCAGCAGGGCCAGGGGACACCCTGCTTTTTTGGGGGGGGGGGGCACCGTCTTGAGACATCCCCTCCCCATTAAAGCCTGGCTTTGGGACACCAGTTCCCATTTTGGGATGAAGCACTGGGACTCCCGTTCCTCGGGGAACGCTGCTGGGGCAGAGGGGAAATCGAGCCAGGGTCCCAAGTGGATCCCAGCACGATTCAT